TGACTTTCCCCGTTCCTGTAGTTTTGAAAAAATTCAAAATAGCCAATTGGCATATTTTTTTCTGGGGAATTCAAAAACGGTACCAAAAAATCATTTGAACTAAAAACCAAAGAGTTACGCCATGGATGAACTGTTTTTCAAATGGAACACCCTGTTTATTATATAATTTCTGGAAAAGTCGCATTTTTAACGTCTATTCCTTTGAAAATATTTGATATTCCGATGCCTATTTTTATTGTATTTTAATGTTTTATCCTTAATAATTTCAGCTTCACCTGTTCAATACATCTGTGATGGCTTATTCTATGGTGATGGCGATATGTCAAATTTCTTTTGACTTTGAACAAAAGGTGATTATACCTCTATCACCCATGAACCTACTAAATTGAAAAGGAAATGCTAAAACTATTAAGCATAAAACATTGAAATAAAATAAAAACAGCGGAATATCAAATATTTTCAACAGAATAGACGTAAAAAATGTGACTTTTCCAAAAATCATACAAAAACAAGGTGTTTCAGTAGAAAAACAGTTCACCCATGGCGTGGATGTTTGGTTTTTGGTTCAAATGACTTTTTGTACCATTTTTGAATTCCCCAGAAAAAAATATACCAATTGGCTATTTTGAATTTTTTCAAAACTACAGGAACTGGGGAGGTCAAAAATAAGCCCCTGCTCAGTCGTCGTTGGATGACCCTGTACATTTCGCAGTCTTCTTTTACTTGTGTATATTTTTGAGCAGAATTACAAAGATATCCAATAAGTGGTAGGTAATTTATTTTGAGTGCTTAAAATGAAAGCCTTAGGTACAATCAATAGGAATAATTGTGAAATGACTTGAAATTGTGATATTTTCCATATAACTTTGCACTGGGGGATGGCAGGAGAATTAGGGACCACTCCAGCTGCCGGCAAGATGTACTTTTACATTCTTTAGGATCACAGCAATACGATTTTGAGCATTTTTGCCGGTCCTCACATTTTGCATACTCATATCCCTCTAACTCCCGGTCTATTATAATTTTCGTAAATTCTGTTCTTTTCATTTATTCCAGCATTTTACCATCAGAAATTTTGGACATTTATTGTTGGTGTGCTACTCTATATGTTTATCCCTTTTTCATTTAAATCCGTGACCAAAATTTGCATATTGTTGTCAACAAAATGGTAATAATTCTACTATTTAGAATGCGTATTTTGCAACCAAAAATGCTTGAACTTCTACTCCAATCTATTATTGTTATAAACATAGCTTCATTTCACTGAAAAGTGGTCTAAATTTGGAATTGAACAGGAATTGACGTTTTCATTTAAAATAGATGGACGATAAGTAAGAAAACATTCATTTTCCCGCCAACATTTGTTTGCTTGTCAATGTCAATGTGTATTGGGTGTTTAGCAATCCCCTCGTTTTTATTCGAATCGGTGACTTCACCGATGAGTTAGCTATCTTTGTTAGGTGAATGGAAAATGACAATGACCGACATAGAATGGTGGATCCATCGCAGAGTTTGAAATTGGAAAGAAAATGTGGGAAAAGTTTGTTTCATTCGCAGAACTTCCACATGGAGACAAACCTTATTCTATTATGGAGACGGTGGTGGATTATTTTGAAAGCAAACAGCTTCAGCAAACTAAACTTGAACATGGATTACTTTGTATACTTGATAGGCCGTGGATTTCCCTTTCTTTTCCGAGTATCCTTTCTGATTTTGTGTATCCAAATTTTGATAAATGTATGATTTGATGGAAATTTATGGAAAGACACGTCCGCCGGTGAATAGGAATTATTTTAATGAATAGGCACTCTACACACAATCACCATTGTTAGGAAAAAACCTTGAAAAAACCGAGGAAATAATAGTTTATTTCAGAAGTCTTGTCTACAAACCACTGTCAACGGCTGTCAACCATTGTTTTCATGCTCTTTCGGCATCTGACAGTTGGACATGGTTGACAGCCGTTGACAGTGGTTTGTTGACAAGACTTTTATGCGCGTGGAAACTAGAAACTGGAAACTATTATTTCCCCGTTTTTTTCAAGGTTTTTTCCTAACAATGGTGATTGTGTGTGTGTGCCTTTTCGTTAAAATAATTCCTATTCACCGGCGGATGCTTCTTTCCATAAGTTTCTATCAAATCCTACATTTGTCAATGACCCCAACTATCACTCATTGAAATCTTCTTGAAATCTTCCTATCAATGTACCAAACACCCTGTATAATTGGTTCGCTGTTCGATTTATATTTCTTAATTTTTTTTAAGTCGTTGGTTTCATTTTCTATTAATTTTTGTTGTTGTTTTGTGGTATGAATTTGCCGCCCCTGGATCGTGCCGCCCTGGGCGACTGCCCATCTCGCTCCCCCCTTAAGCCGGCCCTGAGTCAATGCAACTAAGTACCTAATCAAAAGCCAGTGCTAATCCAAACTTGTATTAGTATTGGCTCTTGAATTCGACTACAACCAATGATCCAGTGAATCAAGAATCAGGAACCGCAAAATTTGGATTATTATCGGCTCTTGATCGCCTCTAGAGTAATTTTCCAGCAAATCATGAGACGATAATAATCAAATATTGGACTATTACCGACTCTTGTAGCCATTGGCTACGTTCACCAGAACCAAAACGGATTGTAAACAGTTTACAAATACCAACAGAATATGTTGGGTAAACTCTTGGTTCTGCTGAACGATTCAACTTTTGATATGATAGAACGTCACCCTCTGAATGACAGGTCACCACACAAAACACTCTCAAATTATGCTTTCAAAAATGGCGACCGTTTGCAATACATATGTGCGTTTTTATTCTCATCGATGGCTTCACCGATGAATTAGCTATCCTTGTTTAGTGAATGGAAAATGACAATGACCTACATAGAATGGTGGATCCATCTGTAAAATTTGATGAGAATAAAAACGCAGGGTATGTTTGGTTTCAACATACATTCAACGTAGCGTTCAGCAGAACAAGCGCAAACCGTTTACCAACGTTTGTATCTGGTGAACGCGGCCGTAACAATCTGAAAGTGTGTTTGTGCACATACCCGTAGCGTATTTCGCATGGTGTGGCAGATTATTGAACTAATTACTTCGATCGTTTCTGACAACTCGGTTTAATTTTTCTTTGTCAGCAAATTGCCCGAACATTTTCTATCTTTTTTAACACATACAAATTACAAAATTTGACAAATGATTGAATCCAAAGACTAGTATTTATCTCTGCCAAAGACCATCAATCAAAAACTGAATCATCATAACGTAATATTTCTTCTATTATTTATATTAGGGAAATGAGAAAACTTTCTGTGATCATAATTATTAATTAATTAGACAAAACCGACACCAATAAAAGTGTGTTTCGAATTTGCGATGATGCGAGATGCAGTGAAAAGGTAAACACAAAACTTATAATATAAACATTTCAACAACCAGAACATAGGCTTACTAAATTTGTTTTCAGGCAATATTACCTTTCTACAACAAATCCAGAACCAACAACTAGACTGATCTGCTACCCTGGCTTAATAAAAAATAAGTTTGTTCAAAGAAGATATTTCAATTTTTGTATTGTTTAATTAAATCCTTGACCCCTTTGAGGAATCACATTTTACCTATTTGGATTTGTTAAAAATAAGTTCTGTTATCGTTCAAAACAGTTGCTCGGTAAATTTTAGCAAGTTTTTTCAACAAATGTATTGCTGTGCATCTGTTTTGAGCATTTACAGTACTTTATTTTTGATAAATCTAAATAAAACAACAGTTAATTATCGAATTATTTGAAAAAGCCGCCTTTTCACTGTCGGTAAAGAAGAATTCTGCATTCAAACAATGTTCACTCTTTTAATTGCTGTCCGTAACCACCAGGGGCGCTAACGTCGGCATTGTGCCAGTTAAGTACAGGGGTATGACTTCTCTCGTAGTTTACTATACTATTATATTTCTCTATGAATCACTCCCTAACTGTACAGTTGAATTTGCCCTGTAAGATGATAAATAATAAATATGTCATCAGCATATGCGAGGGCACGGTGTCCTCCGTCCGTGAGCAGTGTGAGCACCTTAAGCAGACCTTCCGGCACTAGATTCCACAGATTCCACACAGATGATACCCTACCCTGTGGGCATCCCCTGTACACTCGAGCCGCCACTGTCTCCTCTGAGACGGCGGATTCTATATAGGTATATTTATACCATCTTTTTCCTTAGCATGGAGTTAATCCACACACAGCAGGTGTCCTCAAATTCTTTATGCTTGAGAGATCTGGTTATTGAGTCAAATGTGAGGAAGTGCTGGCAAAAGTTACCTATATATCCAGAAATATGCCCAGCCCTGTTTTCCAATGTGGTCTCCAGCATAGAGCATAGTCTATGCTGTTTCTGTTGACATCCCTGTCCGATATGCATACTTGTCTTGGTATAGTGGTCGGCTAGCCAACACACCGTTCTAATGTACCTATTCACAAGTTTTTCCAGTGGCGTAAACTCAAGTGACATAAGACTAATGGGTCTCAGGGACTTTTCCGTGTCCTCTCCTATTTTTCCAGGCTTTGGTAATTGGTATGAACGTTACCCTAATGTGTCTCCAAGTCTTTGGTAGATATAGGACCAATATTAATAATTAATTCAGTTTTGGAAGCTAAATTAAGCCAGTCTCATGAAGCTACATGTAACTATGTTATTAAAATTTTAGTGACAATATAGTAGTCTACTTGTTCCCAGCCATGGATCTATTTTTATAAGAATATGTGGACAGAGATTCCTTGATTTAACCACGCACATGAGAAGTTCATAAAGTTATTCTTTGTTTTTTCATTGGTACCCTATCCGTTGTTTTCTCTATTATGATTTGAATTTGTACTAGTAAAATATGTATTACTTACCTTAATTTCGAAAGTGTTTAGGTATATTGAAATCATGTAAAGTGAATCAGGAGATAAAAATTCATGGGAAAAATAAAACAATTTTTTTTTTACAAAAATACCTTTTATTTAACTTAATGTTTCCTTAACCTAATCCCAATAGTACCGGAAAAGTATAGTGATTGAGAAATTATCCTAAATTGAACCAAAAAGTCTTAAAAGAGTTAATAAGCTAGGAGGTACGCATACAAAAAAATAAATAAAACTTTAGACGCTATTAGTAGCAGATTAATTTTGGACAAAACGAAAAAAAAAAAAATTAAAAGTCAATATTTGACAATTTTCGAAAAATGCTTAAAATAAAAACTTAAGAAAGCTGATAATAAAACTGAACAATTTTTAGATACCTGCTAACAACTTATTTCTCGTTTGGCGAGAACAGATAGTGGAATCATGAATAATTATTAGGTCTCTATAAAGCCTATTTTTGCCGATACTTTCTTCTATCTCTTCTCGCAGAATGATGAACTTCATCTTTAAAAAGTATAGTAAAAGTACTAGTAGAGTAAACTTAGTACCTAAGTATGACTTTGATGTCACATATTCGAAATTTCTTTCTCAATCGACTTCTAATTTTCTGAAATTCCCAGTGATGCCGCACAAGGAATCTTTTTCAGCTCCGCACGAGGTACCGCCTTGTCGTCTGAGTGCCGAAACGGCTCCGTCTCTTTGTCTTTGAGTAAATAATTCTTCGTTCACGGCCATCTGATCGTGAGACATCAAAATTGAGTGCGACTTCTTTAGTTCCTCTTGCCATAGTTCTAAAAGAATCAGAAATTGGATGATGGAAAGATTACTTGAAAAAGTGTTTGAGATGGTTCAGAGCTGTTTTCTGAAAATCTTATGATTAGCTTGAACCCTTGTTGAATGAAGTATCATGCATTGAACAAAGTTAATCGGATTCTTTCAAGAATAATCTAGATTGCCTATTTATATATTCTAAATCAGAATTAAATGCTCTTTTAGATAAAACAAAATTAAATCATTTATCTCAAAAAGTTTTCCAGATATTGACCCTCAAAGTTGAAACTTTGTCTTTAATTTTGGAAAACATTCAAAGCCGATTATCTCGAAAACGAAGCCCTAGGGCTCGGTGCCCCAAATACACTTTTTGAAGCCCCAATTGAAATCTACGAAGACGAAATTTCGTTCAAATAGTTTTTCTGGTTTCCAAAATATGTTGAATTATTTGAATTTAAATTTTGATTTTTCCAAATTTTTGAATTTTTGACTTTACCAATCGAAAAAGGTGGTGAAATTTTGTAGAACAATGTTCACAATCAATACATTTATTTGGAAAATACCATTTCTTGAACTCTTATAAACAGATGTGTTTACTGGGTATTTGATTGAATAAGTAATAGGTAACATCAGTTGTAGAAGTTTCAAATTTTACTTTTCCCCTTAATACAAAACTGGTCAAGTAAGCAATATTATGGAAAATAAAATATTATCGTAAATATTCTACATCTCTATTTCTCATTTATCATCAAGCTCTTGGAGAAAACGATATCTAAGTATTTTTTACAAAAAAAAAATCTAAAATCAGATATGCAGATTACTCAGGTTCGCCCAACCTTTTATATTATACCAGAAAAAGAAATCGCAGGGCTCTTAAAACATTTACGTGATGACATCAAGGGTGCGAAAGGAGAAAAATGATGTTGCAGCCGGTCTGGGGGAAAAGAAAGATGAATTTTCCGGGCAAGAAAAATGATATGGTAAATTAAAAGAGCCAAGATTTAAATTGGCCTAAGCAGGGGAGGCTTTTAGCCTTGTTTATTTGCGAATTAACTCACCGATCATTTCCGACATTGGCATAGTTCCGCCATACTCTTTAGGTAACACGTCCCTCTCAACGTATCCAGTTTCCAAAACTTCGTCTATGTTCGAATATAATCGCACTCTGCTTTTGATTTTTTCAGATATAAGAGACATCCCCCAATCAAGTACGAATTTCATAGAAGAATGAACGTTCATTCCATGGACTTCTTTGTGACGCATTGGTAGTGTTTTCTTGAATCATGATGAATAATGAATAATAGAAAAATGCATTTTTTTTTTAATTAAAACTTTACACTCATACCTCTCCATTTTTGACAATACGGACAGCTTCTCTGATGGTGAATAAAGTAAGATAAGCAAAACCGACTCCAGAACCGTCTGCAAAATGTACAAAACCTCTGACTTGGTTCTCTTCGTCTTCCATAAGAGTTTCGTATACGATTCCGTGGATACGGCACATATCGCCGTTGGTGAATTTGTTTAGATCGAATACTCCTGAATTTGTAATAACATAAAATAAAAGAAATCTGCAACATGTTTACTAATTATGAGTTAATTAATAAATTAATTAGATAGTCTTTGGATGTAATTAAAACTTGTGCAATGGTTTTGTTGTTAGTGCTACTGCTATGTAATAAAACCTTTACAATATTATTTAATGTAATGTCACAAAATTATAATCTATTGAGTGTTTAAAAGATTCTAAATATTCTATATCAAGACTTATTCAAAATTTAGAGGTCTTCATTATAATTATTGGAAAGTTTTGTATATGGAAGGTATAAAAAATTTCCTAATTTACAAAAAGCTTAGAGAAAGACTGAAACTTTGGTTAAAGCAAATAAAAATTAAATAATTTTTGTTTTCAATGAAGGTTATAAACATTTAATAAACCCTGGTCATGTTCAATAATAATTGTATATCTATAAATTCTTAATTAGTTTTTCATTGTGCTGTCTGGATAGCATGACAACATAAAATGAATATATGAGACATAAATATAATAATTTCAAAATCAGTATTCATTAAAATATCTTTCATATTGAGGCCAGTCAATAAACCAAGCGTTGATATGTGAAAAGCCCTCATTTAAATATCGAAATTACATGATGCATTTCACCCTTTGCATAAAAAGTTATCTATCCATATATTAATATTTCATTATTAACCAAAAAGCTAAAATGAATTTTTACCTGGTCTAGCAACAATCACTCTACGTCCCTTACTATCACGTTTTGGACAAGCAAAAAGGTATCCAAGATTTGTAAGTTCCTGCATCATCGGTATGGTAATGTCCAAGCAATTAAAGGCCACCCCGAAGGTTTGACGGAGTAAAACGTACCTTTCCAAACATTCTTTTGCTTGCTCTACGCTAAATTTTTTGAATCGGAGGAATCTCAGTAAGAAACGGGAATCTGAAAAAACATTTTTGTCATATTACAAGAAGCCGTATATGTATAGGTAAACACGAGAAGATAGTGTTTAATCAGATGTTAGTAATATAATAGTCCCAAATTTGAGAGACGTTGTTATTCAGATGATGCAGGGTTGAGTGGGTAATTTTCAATTAGAATTAGCAATTCAGGCATTTATGTTTGCAAGGTTGTAATTCCGAAAGCTTTCCTTTGTTAAATTAGTTGGCTCTTCTCTAGAAATCCTAACGAAAATTTCCATACGGCACTATTATTTTAGATATAATTTAATGACTTGGTATAATAAGATTTTGTTGATGAGATTGAGTTGAATCGTTGAATCTATGCACAAATATAAGAGACAATAACTTCTTACCCATTCTGCAATTATTTATTTTCGGATTTTGTCTTATCCATTCTCTCATCGACTCCAAAGCGGAGTTTCTAGATTTTTCGTCTTCTCTCAGTTCATCGTAAGCGATTTGTTGAGTTTCTTGTGATAAATTACATACGTAGACGTCTGGTTCTGTAACCCATTTTCTGTCGCTCATGATGGATAGATGCTTGAAAGCTAAATAATTAATGGAGTGGTTTTATTAATATCTATTTAATTAATTAAGTACATCAATTAATATTAATAGCTCTAACATCAAGAAAAATATACTTGTAAATAAAATTATAAAACTTAAAGTAGGTAAAAGATACCATCGTCGTCTTAAAAGCATTACAAGGTCATGAATCACTTTTACTTTCTCCATTTCTTTGCAAGAAAAATTCAGAATATTGTATGGATATTGACTTTCGCCTTGAACTTGATTTGACATCAGGAAGAGGAAGAAAACGGTACTTGTAACTTGGTTCGTTTACGAATATACTTTATTATTTATTTTTGTTTTTTAAGTAGGTATTTTACCTACCTATGTTCTTATTTTTTGTTCTAATAAGACAAAGTTCAATCAGTTTTAAAAGGTATGAAGTTTAAAGCATTCAAGTTACTCATTCTTTAAATATCGAGTGGATATGCGATTTTTTGAAAAAAAAATTGGGATCGAATATTTCCGACAATAAAGAATCGTATCGTATCGTATCGATTTGCGATTTTCAAAGACTGATGGTTAATTTCATCGAAAATAAAATAATTTATCAATAAAAATTAACAATGGTTGGGAAAATTATATGAATGGTGTGAAGGCAAACCGCTACCTAAAGCTAAAATATTTCAACAGTTTTTTTAAAAATCTGCAAGGATTCGAAAAATATAGAATTTTTTTTATTTGATATTATCTTCAATCAACGATATTATTTTATCTCAATGTTTGCCATGAATTCACCATCAATCTTTGAAATCAATGCGATTCTTGATGGTTGTACCTATATTCAATTAGTAGGTGATTAATTTGTAATATTTTATAATAAACACATATAAAATACAATCATGAAACAATAATAATAATTATGAATTATTTAAATAAATTAAACTTCAGTTTAGCAAATCAAAGGAAAGGTATAATGCAGCTATCTCAAGAGTGAGAAGATTCAATTGAAGTTCAATTTATTTAAATAATTTATATTTATTATTGTTGATTGTTTCATGATTGTGTTTTATCTAAGTGAAGTTCATGTCCTATCGGTATCCAATGAAGGGGGCGTGATTCGTCGGTTAGGTTAAAAAAAATAATAAAAAATTTGTCTTTTTACAATTTTATCAATGTATTGTGATTTTATTTTTAACCATATATGAAATGTTGTCATTACTGAGTTTTCAAAAATTTGAAAATGTCACATTTCTGTCTTTTTATTTTCCTGCTCCATTACCTGTCCCAGGACGGGAAGTGAGGACGGGAAATTTTTTCCGTCCTCATTTCCCCTCCACGGACGGAAAATGGAGCAGGGAAATATTTCCCGTTCTCATTTTCCTCTTCATTTGCCGACCTCATTTGGTTGCCCCGAATTTACTTTTTTTCAAGAAATTATGGTTAAAAATAAAATAGTATACAACCCTAGACGGGAAACTTCATTGCTGTCTCGAGGTTTAGTTTATCTCGACGCTACGCGTCTCGATAAACTATAAAACCTCTCGACCAGTAATGAAGCATTTCCCGTCTCGGATTGTAATAATATACTATTGTTATGGTGCAATTGAATGTTCCATCCTGAAAAATCTCGCACTATTTTATATATTTCTAGCCACATAATTTTTCAAGTATAAGGCATGTAAACTTCAGTTTTTTGTTAGCACTTTTTTGATGTTCCTAATACATATTTTAGCCCTAAACTTTTGGGCAAAACGTTCACAAAGACTTGACAGGCCTTTTATGTTTTTTTTTTGTCCTAACCGACGAATCACCCCCTTCATTGTATTTTATGTTATGTGAACTCGGTGGGTTTATTTCATTAGGGTGAAATAAATAACATTTATTGATGTTTTTTTCAAATTAAAATAATAAATGTTTGAAAAACTACTATTAATTAGGATCAGTTTGAAATTGATTTTCAAAAATGAGAAATCAAATTTCGTTTGTGAGAAATTAGTTTTCGTTACTTTGAAATCAATTTTCATTTAAGCGAAATTAGATTTCACTGATGTGAATTTAGTTTTCATTAATTTGAAATCAAATTTCACTAGTGTGAAATAATGCTGGAAATGGTTGGTATAGAAAAACCAATGAACTATAGCTAAAAACTGGAATGCGCACACATTGCCATATCTGCCAAAAAAATGTAGCCATGAAAGATAGATGCCACAAAGAGGAATGTTGTTTTTTTCTGTTGCTCGCTGACATATGACGTTTTCGAAAGTTTTGTCATATTTCCCTTCACAGGTTTCATCAATTGGAATACGTGTTGGAAGCAATTTTCGCCATTTAACATAATGAGTGCGACAAAAACAGGTATCCCCTCCGCAGCAGCCGTACTAGGCTTCACGTTCGTCCTTATGTGTTCGCATTCCAGTTTTTGGTTATAGTTCATTGAGAAAAACTGTTGTTCTACAACTAATGGCGGGTTTATACAGATTTGTTTAGCATTAAGCTTATCATTAAACTTAAGCTTTGGAAATTGAAATACTTTATTTCAAATGGGTGTGTTTATGCACTAGATTTATGATTATGACTAAGGTAAGGTGGGGTAAGTGTGTAATCAACTAATAATTCGTGAGTGATGCGTGTATAGGTCCTGCCATCTATGAAATACTAAGGAAGGTTCTCTACACGTCAAATCTAACAATATAGCAATACTGGATATCTCTTATTGAGACTTCAATACTCCTTCTTTCTGAACGTGCTTCCGTTTTGCATTGATGTAGTCAGTACCCCATGTTTAAATCCACGATCATCGGCCACTCGAATTAGATTTGTAATTGTTGTTCACTGTGCATAAGGTAAGTAAGAGCTATAGTTTAACTTAGTGTCGGTATTTTTATTGAAATTCCATTTCTTGTTATTATTTTCGGCTAATACACAGTTACCCCATTAAAAATTCTCATGGGGAAAGTGTGTAATTTTTTTTAGGGGAAGTGTGTAAGGCATTACACACTTTCCCCATATAGAAATTTCTGCTATTTTTGAAATCATTTATTTCAGGAATCGACGGTTTCAACAAAAATGGTGCGCGTATATGTAAGGAAGAGTGAGAGGGGCAAGACATACACTAAAGAGACTTTGGAACGAGCTATGGAAGAGGTTAAAAGTGGAATAATCACCGCCTATAAGGCCAGTCAAAAATATGGAATACCTATGATGACGCTCAACTACCGCTTAAGAGGTAAAAGGGGAAAAAAAAGCAACACCCAAGGTAGAAAGAAGTACAGTAATTCCATTAGAGATGGAAAATGAATTGGCACACGGTATAAGAACAATGGAGAAGTGGGGCTGGGGACTGAGCCGGATGGAAATTTTAAGGATCGTGGGTGATTATGTTAGACGTAACCAATTAAAAACTCCATTCAAAAACGGAATTCCAGGAGAAGATTGGTTTTTGGGGTTTACTAAAAGACATAATTTCTCAATTAAAAAGCCCCAGTCAGTTGAATACGCCCGCAAAAAAAGTATGGACCCATTCATAATAAATGGATATTTTCAGTTGTTAGAGAAAACCTTAAATGATTTAAATTTGCGCGACAAACCTCACCAAATTTGGAACCTGGACGAATCGGGATTTTGCTTAGACCCTTCTAAAACGAGAGTTGTGGGAAATAGAGGCACGGCTGCTTCACGAACTACTGCAGGCCCAGGACGAGAAAACATAACGGTTTTAATGGCAGCAAATGCTGCGGGCTTTAAAGCACCACCTCTTATAATATTTAAAGGTAAAAATATTTGGGATGAATGGGTGTCTACGGAAAGCAAATATCCAGGCACTACATATGCCGCTACTTCCAACGGGTGGATGGAATCTCATATTTTTTTAAACTACTTTCAGAAAAGTTTTTTAAAAAAAATTGGTGATGCTAGACCAGTGCTTCTAATCTATGACGGGCACGTCTCTCATGTAGATGAACGACTTATATCCTGTGCTATGCGTAATAATGTAACCATATTGAAACTACCCCCCCATTCTAGTCACTTGTTGCAACCACTCGACCTTAGTGTCTTTCGTTCACTAAAGACAAGATGGGATGCACTTGTTGTGGAGTGGCAAAGGCATAATCAAGGACAGCGAATTCCAAAAAAACACTTTAGTAGGTTAATAGGAAAAATATGGTCAGAAACCCATCCTGAAATCATAATCAGCGGTTTTAAAAAAGGTGGCATATTTCCTTTCGATTCCAAAGTTGTCTCCGAAGATCATTATGATCCGCTAGCGTTAAAGCGATGGAAGTCACATGAAAAAACTTTAAACAAAGACATAAACGATCCTGAAAGTAATTTACCCGGAACTTCCAATGATCAGGATAATCAAACTGATCAAGAACAAATGAACGATGAAAATAATGTTTTTCCGGGACCGTCAGGAATAAATAATCCAGATAAAACTTCATTTGAAGAGCTACTATTAGATATGGTGAAGCAGCACAACAAAGATACAAACATTCAAAAATCAAGAAGAAAAATTGCTGGTGGTGCCGAAATAATCACTGCTCCAGAAGTTCTTAAGCGCTTGCGAGAAAAAGCGGATAATAATTCCTCGAAGAAAAAAAAAGTTTCCGAAGTTGTTGAGCTTGAATCACCAACAGAAGATGAAGCAGTCATTTACGATGATAGTGATGATGATTTTGAAGAAGAATTAAGAGAAGAGCAGGAATTGACGGAATACATGGACAAAATAAATAAAGAAAAAAATGATACAAATGTTAACGATTGGGTGCTTATTGCTTGCGCGGGGAAAAAAAATGTTAAACATTATATTGGTCAAGTAATCTCAGTAAAAAAAGAAGATGACGAAATAGAAGTTAAGTTCACAAGAAAAGTGCTATCGCTTACCCGAACTACTCCAACTGCTTTTACTTGGGCATATCCTGAGGAATGTTAATTTGTTGACATTCAAGATATTGTTATGGTGCTTCCAGAACCAGAAGTTATCAAAAGAGGTTTGCATCGATTTGGAATTTCATTTGATAATTATAATATTCAATAAGTGCCATTTAGTGGTTATTTTGTTTATTTTTGTTGTGAGAGACATTATTAATTTTTTTATTTTTTTTTGGAAGACCATTTTCTTTTGTATTAAAAAGTTTGTAACTGGAAAAGTTTAAGTTATAATAACAATAAAAAAAAAATATAATAAAAAAATTTGGACTTTTACTTTTTACACATTTGCCCCAGACATGAATAAATCGATTTATGTATAAAATCTGGCTCGTTTACACACTTCCCCCATTTTATGGGGCAAGTGTGTAATATGCACACAAAAAAAAAATATGCCCGTATGAAAAAAAAAATACGAAAGTGGAAAGGTATAAATGTATTGTACTTGCGGACGATATACCTAAATGTATTATGGCAAAATATGAACTTAGGATCCCAAGTAGTTTCGTCAAAATCAGGATGTATATAGAAACTTTTAAAATTTTACTACACACTTACCCCACCTTACCTTAGTTTTATTCATAAGAAGCGACCTTGAAAAGTTCCTAATATTCAACTTTTAATACTAAATATTAAATTTTCGCCCGCAATGCGCATGACCATGAGCACAGATTAACCATGAGTGTCAATTTGAAAACCGAACCGAAGTGAACCTAACCAATAATCATCATAACCTCAAATTATTTTGCGGTCGACTGGTCGCGGTTATTTTGATGTGGTTTGATATCGAATATTCATAAGAAATAAGGAAAATGACTGAAGAAGAAAGTATACTGATCGACCTTGTACAAGGGTTCGAACATTTGTACAACAAAAAACACCCATTATTTGAGGACAAACTAGCAATTGAAAATGCCTGGAAAACAGTGGCAAGCGTCAGATCCCAGGTAATATTAGAAAAAAACTTATTTTTATTATGTTCAATACTATTGTAAGAAATTTGATGCTTTACCAAGTTGTTTTTTATGTACTTAGCTGAAGATTGCCAAAAACTGTGGCATTCTATTCGAGTGAAATATGCGAAAGAAAGAAGAACCATTAAGGGCCGTTATTATAATACACTGAACCGATGGTTGAGTTTCAACCTTCGGTTGAATCCTATCAATATGCATGGAGTCAACCGAAGGTTGAAACTCAACCATCGGTTCAGTGTTTTATGATACCGGCCATAAGACACTTCCGACAGGCACAGAACCATATACATGCAAGTGGCCCTTATTCGAGCAGTGCGGTTTTCTGGATGGTGTTATAGCAAAAAGAAAGTAAGTTTTACCATTAAACATTGTTCAATCAAAGTGTTTAATATTTCAGGAAATTTCCTTGTAAATATTGTAGATAATGAACAAGTAAATAAAAAAATAATTTTTGGTTGCAGGACCAAGGAAAATATACTGAATAAGAAGGACGAACTAAACAAGCCATCATTAGTGTGGGAAACCCTAATAGTAGATGATGACGTAATTCTATCATCAACAGAAACAGAAACCTCGAGGGAAATCCAGAGCCCCTCTGAAGATGAGATTCCTCAGTCTCCTAAATACAATGATTTTACTGAGTCAGACACTATCCCGAATTTATCTGATAACGTAGCTGGACCCAGTCCGAAGAAAACGTCATTTGAGCTCAAGGTATTCAACTTTAGAAAAGAAGCCCATATTTCTAAAAAAAAGAAACCCAATGAAACCAGCAACCCACTCATCGATACCTGTGATAAAATTGGCCAAAGCTTAACTGCTTTCCTTGAACAAGGGCAGTCACATAAAGATATACCAAATATCAATCAGGGTGATTACCACTTTGCAATGTAGCCGAGCCATTGTCAAAAGTGAATAATGAAAAAACAAAATTATTGCTGAAAGCAAAATTAATGACGATTATAGCAAACGAGGACATTTCGTGAGGCTGATTTTTTTATGTAGGCAGTTTTTTTATTGTTTCAAAAATGACAATTTTTAGTTTTTCAACCAAAGTAAAATATTGGTTATATTTGGTTTAAAAATATTTTTCTTTGTTTTGGCTATTCTGTAGTTTGAAATAAAATATCTATAACAGAAATATATATTTAAAACTTCATTTACCCACTACAAAACAAAACTCCATTTAATTGTTTCGAACTAAATAAATTCATGAAAAAAGAAAAAAACTAAATGTCCATATGATGTGTTGGTGAAGAACCTCTTAATACATAACTCTCCTGCCATGGCAGCCAACCCTCCTGTGAAACAAAATAGTCTGCCAAAAGATCCCGCTGTGTTTTTGCTGCGTTTGGTGCATTGTTGGAACCCAACCTATTAACAGGTCTCAGATTGGTTGGTTCATTTCTCCAGCTTCCAAGCGATAATTGAAGATATTTTTTTTTTCGCCCAAATTGTCACCAGGATAATGCCTTATTATGTTGCTATGGAGTGGAAATGCAGAGACTGCACTTAAGTAGTGATTGAAATTGATATTTGTTTTTGGCAGTATTTTAGGAACTGGGATTTCCAAATCTCCTTTCAAGAATTTTTGCCCAAAGCCACTGCAAAAAGCATCACAAGTTGCTATCACTACCAGACTGTAATGCTTTTTGTAATTGAAAAAATGTTGTCAAACTTAGTGTAAATTTTGTCCGTTTTCCTAATTTTGCCGGTGTGTGGATTGCAGATAGCAAATATTTCAAAGCAGTTTGGAAAAGTCTTAAACAGTAGGTTTCGTTAAAAGTTTTTCATGATGCGCTAAAGAATATACTTGACTAAGTGTCGATTTATTCACCTTCTGATAAACTTTCAGGTATGCAATCTGACGGATGAAAACGCAATCTGTAATCCCATTGGTCGGCCAGTTATCCGCCCACCAATAGAATGGGCCCTTGCATCAATTTTTTATTGCTAGTTTCGTTAGACAATGAAAAATAAGTCAATACGTGTTTTTTTTTTTTTTTTTTTTCGTGTTAGTCAAAAATTGACGGAGATACAACGCTTTGAAATCTGCTTATGACGTCATGACGTATAATACTTTATGACGTCGCACATGCTCAGTATATCTATATACATATACAAAACTTAATATTTGTATAACTTCCAGAATAATCGTACTATGACAAAAAAAAAAAACATGCATCGATTTGTTTTCTATTTTCTACAGTTTGCAATAAACAATAATCAATTTAATTTTTCATGCAAGTACCCTATTATAGAACGGTAAGCTTATCTTGCAGATAGTTATCAGAAATTTTATGTGAAAACGAATAAACCGGGCCTTAGTCTTATTTCATTTTTATAAAATAACTGGGGAAAAGACGACTATAGGAAACTCCTACAAACCCACTTTCCCGGCGGCTCAAAGATAGTTGATCAGACTCAGTGAACATAGAATATTAGGCACTAGCTGACGTCACACACATAACCTCACAATGACATTTTTGTTTCCCTATCGAAAGTGACATTATAGGATTACTAACATAATAGCTAGCGCCTGCGTCTAAAAATAGTCCTTCAAACGCTTGAAAAATTAAGTTTTTCTACAACTGTCAAAAAATGATGATGTTCGCACACTCATGACAGTTTGCGAAGTGACACTTTTTTTCCCAGGTATTGATTTTTTAACGTTCCCATGACGCCGTGCGCGAACTAGCTATCTCGCACACTGGTGCGGGAAATAGCTAGTTCGCACACTGATGTGTCATGGTGACACATACCTGTCAGGAAACCAAAAATAATTAAAATTCACCTACCTTTGAGTGAAAATGCAATTTTGCCTTCGAATGATCGATATTTAAATGCAGTTGTAGAAAAAATATTGTTTGCAACTCGGGCGCGAAATACTTTGGTGATCTCGACTATTTTTTTAACTCGGCTGCGCCTCGTTAAAAAATCAGATCTCGATCACTCAAAGTAGCATTTCGCGCCCTAGATACAAAAATAACTATTGTATTTTTCTGAAATTAAGTAAAGTATGTAGAGTCATTTCAGGATGATCATGGCACTCTAGTTAAAGAATTTAAATTTAATTTAAAAACAAAATTTGGAAAAAACTCGATTCGAAAGTGGTGCATTAGGACGTGAAACGATCTGTAGAATCCGAAAAACAAAAAATATACAGGGTGTGCCATTTAAAAATCAAATGTTTCGGTCATTTCCGGTGAAACCGGAAGTCAGGAAAACTTTTTATAAATGCATAAAAATGGCGTTTGGTTAGAATATCAACCCTACCAAGTTTTATTGATATCGAGAAACAAATAAAAAAATCGCAGCCGGAAAGTGATCTCGTGGGCACCCGGTATACAGTGTCCCTACAGTAATTTGTAGGATATGGAATTTTTTCTTATGTGCGATCGATCTTGCATGTCCAATAACCTAAAAGTACATTTTGATATTGGTCACGTGATTACTGTTGTGGCGGCAAATTCGACAGTTCAGATATGGAAACGCGAAAACAGGGGTTAGATGGCAAAATTTCGGAAAAAGTTATTTTATAAAAGTGATTGGAACAATGTTTTAGGGCTGTCTGCGAAATTTGGAGGAAAAGCAACAAAAAACAAGAAATTACTTGTTTTTCGCCATGGATCTCTCATCAAATAATATTAAATAGTGGTTGGAATAAGGCCAACAGGCTAAGCACAATAAGCCTTCTCAAGCTTCAGTTCTACATGGGGACAATAAGTCGGACAGGCCTGAGAGTGAGAAAAAAAACACCATAAAAGTACTAGGTACCTACCTAAAAAGTATTTATGAAAGAAATACATATGAATCTATTACGTAGGTAAACGTTTTGATGATCATTTTATAAAAACACTTTTTACCTTTTATTTGGAATTTATCGGTTTTATACTGGATATATTTTCAATAAACGAAGGACAAAATAAGCACACGCAACTAATTATTATTCTCTGATAGAATATGACTATAAACGACTATACATATAAACTGAAACACGCATCAAAGTCTACTACCGGTCTACTGAACATCATTGTCATGTTTTAAATATATAAAACACGTGACAATAGGTATAAACAGTTTTTTTGATGAAAAATGAGAAAATCACTAAAATTTAACACCCCCACTCATCAAAAACAAAAAATATATATGTTCAAAGAACAATTACAATCTCTTTATTCCCAAACTAGCTACACATTTTGAGTTTTTAATAGTCTGGAGACTATTTGTAAGGAGATCAGCTATCATTTCATTGGTAGATAAATATATAATATGTATTGATAATTTTTTCAGGCACAGCATCTCTGATAAAATGATACCTGATATCCACATGTTTGGAACGTTCATGAAACATAGGATTAGCTGATAGTTTTTGAGCATTCTGTTTATGATTGAAAAGTGATATACAATTCAATTTACCAGTTGATTCGGATTATAAGTTCCTCAAGTATATTGCCTCCTTTGCGCCTTCACTGTGAGCAATGTTCTTTGCCTCTGTGCTTGATGGTGCATGGTGCCACAGACTTTTGTTTAACACTGTTCCATGATACACAGCCCCCTGAGAGCTTAAAAGCAAAACCAGTATAGGACTTTCTAACCTTTTCACTTGAGCCCCAATCAGCATCAACGAAACCTTGCAAATCTGAATTCTTATTTTCATTACTAAATCTCATAACAAAGTCCTTTGTACCTTGCAAATATCTAAGGATTTGTTTTGCACAGTTCCAATGATACACAGTATTATTATCACTGAACTGGCTTGAAAAACTTACACTAAATGAAATATCAGGGCGTGTTGATACCGCTAAATAAACTCCCTATTAACTTTTGATACATAAAATTCTCATTTTTAGGACTTGTAATACTCGTTTTATAATCAAAGTTTCTCATAGGGGTATTGACACTTTTGCATTCTGTCATATTAAAGCGTTTTAACAATAGGGTACTTGCATGGAAAATTAAATTGATTATTGTTTATTGCAAACTGTAGGAAATCGAAAAAAAATCGTTACTTTTTTTCAATTTCGCCCAAATGTGATTATTCCGGAAGTTATTCAAATATTAAGTTTTGTATATATAGATATACTGAGCATGTGCAACGTCACTAATTTATTACACAAATGACGTCATAGGCAGATTTCATAGTGTTGTATCTCCGTCCAGTTTTGACTAAGAAGAAAAAGACAAAACACGTGTTGACTTATTTTTCATGGACTATCGAAATCAGCGATAAAAAATTTGATGCAAGGAGCCTATTGTTAAGAAACTGTTTGACTAAACCTAAACCTAATAAGTCTTTGATTTAGAATTCAGCACTTAAATAATTTTTTAAACTATCGCTATAGCTCTGATCAGATGAAAAAACCAAAAAATCGTCTACATATAATGCAACTATGACTTAAGAACTGTTTTTCAAAATCAGATTTCTTAAATGCTAGCCTGATTAAATCTTCATCTACTCTTTGGTTCCATACCCTAGATGACTGTTTTAAACCATAGACAGCTCTTTCCAATCTACACACTTCAGGCTGTTTCATTAAAACTTTCTCTTCTAACAAACCATTCAGAAAGACTGTTTTCACATCCAGGTGTGTAATTTCAAGATTAAGTTTTAGTGACAGAGCCAACAATAATCTTTAACTAGAATATCTTATTACAGATGAAAAAGTTTCGTCATAATCAATTCCAGCCTGCTGGGTAAAACCCTTTGCTACTAGACGAGCTCTATAACTCACGATTCTCACTATCACACTTTTTCTTGAAAATCCACTTACACTGCACTATCGATGAGGCATCCTGAGGAGGATCAACAAGATCCCAAGCTTCATTCTCACTGAAGGATTCGATTTCTTCAGACATTGCTTGCTTCCAACGATCTGCTTAGCAAGTGCTTC